TAAGTTTTAATTTTCTTTCATTTTAAGTTCTAATTTTCATTATGTTTCTTTAAGTTTTAATTTTCTTTCATTTTAAGTTCTGATTTTTCATTTTTTTTTTTTTTTTTAAGTTTTAATTTTCTTTCATTTTAAGTTCTAATTTTCATTATGGTTTTTTTTAAGTTTTAATTTTCTTTCATTTTAAGTTCTGATTTTTCATTATTTTTTTTTAAGATCTGATTTTCACCTGGGACACTCCCAGGGATCCAGGGGCAGCCACAGCTTCTCTGGGCAACCTGTGCCAGGGCCCCCCTGCCCTCCCAGGGAAGAATTTCTTCTGTTAAATTAAATATGATTCCCAAATTGCCACTACAATGGAGATTATTCCCCTGTGAAATGGGGCCTCTGGCACATCCAAACCAACCAAACCAACACCAAATTCCAACCAAACCAACACCAAATTCCATTCCCTTGCTGCAGCACTGAGCCAAGGCCTCCAGGTTTGTCTAAGGCCCAATTTCAACGGGTCTGAACGACAGAATCCCAGACTGGGGAGGGCTGGAAGGGACCTTAAGGACCATCCAATTCCAAAGCCCTGCCCTGGGCAGGGACACCTTCCAGCCAGAAAAGGTCACAACAACTTCCCTTGGCTGTTTGTTCTGTCTCTGCCTTGATCACTAAAAGTAGATCCTTAACTGGAATTTGTTGGGTTTCAGCACCAACAGTACAAGGGTTAAAAAAAGAGGGCTCAGCTCCTTTTCAGGTGCAGAAGGAATTCTAACTAATGCTCCACGTTCTGTCCCAGGATAAAAGTTATTTCCAGCACCATGGCTGGGAATACAGGTATTACAGGGATTATTAAATCAATATTGCCCATATCCTGTAACAGGAGGGTGTAACACACACCCTGTGCCCGACCTGGCACTGGGACAAGATCACAACAAGATCAAAGTAGCACAGGAATAGAGCAGAATTCCAAATAAAACCCCACGGATTTACAGTCCCAGCGCTCGGGGGGTTCCTGTTCACCCCTCTGGATCCCATCCCAGCACCACAACCAACCTCCTCCCACATCCCAGCATCACAGCCAACCTCCTCCCACATCCCAATATCACAACCAACCTCCTCCCACATCCCAATATCACAACCAACCTCCTCCCACATCCCAGCACCACAACCAACCTCCTCCCACATCCCAATATCACAACCAACCTCCTCCCACACCCCAGCATCACAACCAACCTCCTCCCACATCCCAATATCACAGCCAACCTCCTCCCACATCCCAATATCACAACCAACCTCCTCCCACATCCCAGCACCACAACCAACCTCCTCCCAGCCTGGACCCAGGACAGGTTTCACCTGGAAAACCAAACCCAGGGGCTGCTCCAAGCCTTGTCCAACCTGGCCTTGGACACTCCCAGGGATCCAGGGGCAGCCACAGCTTCCCTGGGAATTCCAGCCCAGCCCCTCCCCACCCTCCCAGCCAGGAATCCCTTCCCAATATCCCACCTCTCCCTGCCCTCTGGCAGTGGGATCCATTCCCTGTGTCCTGTCCCTCCATCCCTTGTCCCCAGCCCCTCTCCCACATCCCATGCCAGGGTTGTGTCACCCACAGGAGCTGGGTCTCCACAACACTTGAAAATCGAGGGTTTAGTGGCAGGGGGTTGTGTTTGGTGGGTCCCAGAGCCAGGGGAAAAGGATCTTGTTGTATCCACAAAACCCCACAGCAGGGATGGGAAATTTTAAAGTTGTTCCTACCAGGAAGACTGATCCAGGCAAACACCACCTCTGCTTCATCAGACATGCACTGCAAAGAGGTGTTACTGCTTTCCATCACAGAGATGGTAATTTCCATGAAAAAGGGGAGCCTGTGGGTTCCAGTAATTCTGTTCAGTGAACTGACACCTGAACCCAAGTGTGGTTCACATGGAATTACCCTCTGGCACCCAGGAAACTCCCACTGGACACAGAATCATTCCATCCCCCCTGTGCCTGATCCCACCTTGTCCCCAGCCCAGAGCACTGAGTGCCACAGCCTCAGAAACACTCACTTATTCTTGGAATTGTGAGTAGAGCAAACCCCTGATTCCCTTATGGATGTAGGTCCAGGGTTCCAGCAATGGATCCCGTAAAATTCCCGACTCGGAGGCTCCATGAACATTTTTGTCTGCACTTCTCGTATCTCCTACAGCAATAACAAACACTGTGATAACTCAGCTCCCATCAAACACAGGACATCAGCCTGACTGGAATCCTGACTGGATTTTAAAACACCCCCCTCCTGGTTTGAAAGGTTCAGTGGTGGGGATTCCACCCCCACTTTGGAAATCGATTCTGACAATTACTGACTCACACTCACTGTTAAAAACATACATCTTGTTTTGCTGCCCAGAGAAGCTGTGGCTGCCCCTGGATCCCTGGAAGTGTCCCAGGCCAGGTTGGATGGGGCTTGGAGCCACCTGGGATAGTGGGAGATGTCCCTGCCCATGGCAGGGGGTGGCACTGGATGAGCTTTAAGGTCCCTCCCAACCCAAACCCTTCCATCACTCTCTCTGATTTTTGTATTTCATATTTATTATTCTGAATGTGTCTCCCTTCAGCTTCTGCTCTGTGTCCCTTGTTAAGCCCATCTGCCAAAGCTCCCTGGGATTATATTTAATTTCTCTAGGACTGGTATTTCCAGAAGTATCAAACCTTTCCTTAACCCCTGTGGGTTATTCCTGCATTCCTTGGGTCCTTGCCTGTAAAGCTGTGCCTCTTCCCAAACCTACTTCCAGTCCTTCAACCATTTCCATCCACCTTCTCAAACCCTTTGGTCCTTCCACAGTTTTCCAACAAGGATCCTGCCCCCACCAAGCACAAAGGGGAACCTCTCCTGTTTGTCCTCCTAAATCCTGTCACCACCCACGGTTACAAAATCACCCTGAAAATGCACATTGTGCCACCTGCAGACCAGGACCTCCAAGAACTGCTTTTGGGCCATTCTGCCCAGCACGTTTTCCTTTCAACTGGCTTCATTCCTCCAACATTTTCCCATTCCCCTCTGTTTTATAAGTTTTCCTCCTGGTCATGCAGAAGAGAGTTAATGGCACAGAACTCAGCCTGATCTCTGCAGGGCTCTGCTGGAAAACACCCCCCAGCACCTTCTTCTGGCAGTCACATTGAGGCCAACGAGCTGAACTATTTTCATGGAATCCTGGAATCCCAGAATGGTTTGGGGTGGAAGGGACCTTAAAGCCCATCTCCCTGCAAGCCCCCCCTTCACGGGTTCTTCCCGTTCCCCTGCCTAGGTGGTGCATTGTTTATTGTTTTCCACATCTCCCAGTGCTCACAATAAACACATTATGGCAACAAACCCACTTCATTAACCAGGATTAACCTCGCAGGAAGAGCCAGGCTGAGTCTGACTCCAGCAAAGTGCCAAAGCCTGAGCTGGGCTGGCACGAGTTACCTTTTTATTTATTGATCAACAGGCAGCTCAGCACTGCTCAGTCATTTCACTGCCCATCCAAGTCATACTGGCAAACATGACATGTCAGACACTGCCCTGAGTTCATCCTGCACGTCCCCCCAGCAATGAGATCATGTGGATGTTGTTCCAGGGCTCTGGGACCTTTCCAGTGCTCTGAGACACACAGGCCATCAGCAGTAAGCATCTAAATTAAGAAATTACCTCAAAATGCAGTTTGGATTGAAAACACAGACACTGCAGTTCAAAATCCTGCTGGGTCACCTCAGAGTCCCAGAATCCCTGAGGCTGGAAAAGCCCTCCCAGCCCATGGATCCACCCTGTGCCCGATGCCCACCTTGTCCCCCAGCCCAGAGCACTGAGTGCCACAGCCAGGCCTTCCTGGGACACCTCCAGGGCTGGGCACTCCAAACCTCCCTGGGCAGCCCCTGCCAGTGCCTGACCACCCTTTCCAGGGAGAAATTCCTCCTCCTGTCCAACCTGTCCCTCCCCTGGCACAGCTGGAGGCCGTTCCCTCTCCTCCTGTCCCTTGTTCCCTGGGAGTAGAGCCCGACCCACCCCCAGCTCCCCCCTCCTGTCAGGGGGTTGCAGAGCCAGAAGGTCCCCCCTGAGCCTCCTTTTGTCCAGGTTGAGCCCCCCCAGCTCCCTCCCTTCCCCAGTTTCACCAGGAGCCATCAGGAGCTGGGGTACACTGAGCCCATCCCCAAGGGACAGCACAGGAGCTGTGCAGGAGAGCAGGTGGGAAGGGGAATCAGATTCCATGTTAGGTCTGAAATATTGGGAAGGAATCCCTCCTTGTGAGGGTGGGAGGCCCTGGCACAGGTTGCCCAGAGAAGCTGTGGCTGCCCCTGGATCCCTGGAAGTGTCCCAGGCCAGATGTCCCTGCCTTCACAGGACCTCATCTGTTCCAGAGCCAGGGAAGTGGCCTCAGTGTCCCTCTCCCAGTCCCTCCGTGCCCTCAGACACGGCAGGAGCTGGGAATGCTCTGTCCAGTCATGTCCTCAGCATGCAGAAAAACAGTGCATGTGCAAGCAGGGAGACCACCTTCCAACCATTCATACAGTTTATGGGATGAGAGAACATTAAAGATACAAGTCCCAGGATTTCCAGAGAGCCTCGTGTTCCAGCTGAGCCAGAGCTGCCAACCTGCTCAGGAAAGGGCTGGAATCAGGGGGACAAGGAACCTGGAAACAGGAGTTGTTTGGTGATGGAGTGAGCCAGGTGGGAAAGAAAAGAGGAAAAACCAAGTCAGCATGTTCATAATGATCAGAAGAAGGAATAAAGGACAAGAGAACAGCTGAGGCAGAGAGATCAGAGGCCTGTTCATCCCCAGAGCAGATGGCTGGGCCGGCACATTCCTGGCACGTTCCTCCCCTCCCTGAGAGTCCCTTTGCTCTCAGCAGCCTTTGATGAATTTATTTCCTTCAGCAGAACTGGTTCAAGGAGCAATGGAGGGGTGTGGATGTTTGGTGCCCACCACATCCTCGGGGAAAGTTAAAGCAGAATTGGTTTCTGCTGCTTCCATCTGCCCCTGCTCGTTCCGGTCGCTGCCCTTTGGTTCCTGCCCTGGAAGGGGAAGGGAACAGCTGGAAGGGGGAGGGAACAGCTGTTTCCTATTCACCACCACGTTGCTCTTTCACAGAACACTCTCTCAGACCACCAGTTTCCTCTGCAGCTTGAGGAATCTGCTCCCTGTCCTTGTGCAGCAGGACTGGGGGGTTTGGATCGTGGGCTGCTCTGCCCCACACCAGACGTGTGCAGACAGCTGGGGAACACTCCCTGGCTCAGAGAGGGAATGCTGGATGTGGCACTCGGTGCTCTGGGCTGGGGGACAAGGTGGGATCAGTCACAGGCTGGACTCCACGGCCTGGGAGCTCTTTTCCAGCCTCAGTGGTTCTGGGATTCACGGGTCGGCGTCAGGATCGCCGACTCAGCAAAAAGAAAAAAAATCAGCTCCCAGAACTTAATACAACAAACACACGTGGAAATGCAGTTATTTCCTGAAATGGCTGGATTTGTGGAGGATACTCACATCTAAGTTTGTCCAGGATTTTCCCACCACACATGGTGGCCAGCATGGCTTTCACTGAGAACACAGTCAGCTTCCCGTGGCCCTCACTGTAGGGAAAAGGACATGGTGAGGAATTCCAACAGGGAATGGCAGTCACTAAAGCACTTAAGGCCTAGGAAGGAAATGTATAAATCATTATACTATTATATATATATATCTGCAGTAAGTACTAAGGACTGCCAAAGCTATTTAATGTAACATTCACACAGGGAATTCACACCAGCATTTTTAATGCACTGCAAGAGTTAACAAGTGTCTAACCATAAATCAAATTTCCTTGCAGAGTTATGAAAAATTCCCAGATAGAGAGCCTGACATTTGTGTTGTCCATCCCACAACTCTCCTATAAAACAGTGTTAATTCATTTCTCCATTAAAATCCATGGTTCATTTGTGAAACTCCTCATTTTTCTCTCTGCTGCCCTCTGTTAGTTTCTTTAAACTTTTACTCCTTAGTTTAAACTCTTGACATCCAAACACACATTTCATTCTAAAAACAAGCCCCGGAATTGACAGGCAACAGAGAGGCTGTGTGAGATCCTGGGGACCCCACACGGAACAGGGAATACTGGGAATAATGCTCATTTGCAGCTGAAGTGGTTAAAGCTGCTGTGCTGTGGGAGCTGTGGCACATTTGGGAATCACTCCTGCATCAGCAGGAGAGAAGGGATGTGGCTCTGTGGAAAGCAGGAAGGAGCCATCCAGCACAGCAGGATTGGTAGGGACAGACATGGGGGTTATTCCTGTTTCCAGAAGGAAGTTAAGGAAGGGAGGGTGTGGGAGAGAAGGGACCAGGAACACGGGGGGAGGCTGGGTGGGTTAAAGCACAGCACAGCTGGGCAAAGGGGGGGAAAAGCTGCTGGAATTCTGAGCAAGTTACTGGCAGACACAAGTGCCCCCTGTCCCTGACCACAGACTGACCCCTCCTGAGGAACTCAAAGGTAAAAGGAGAAACCCAACTCAAACAAATTCAAATGCCTGTCATTAAATGGGCTGGACAGGTCATTTGTGCTGGCATGGAAAACACACTGATGGGGGAAACACAGGAGGAGCGTGGGGAGAGAGCCAGAGAAACCAGAAATACTTCTGAAGGGAGACTGCAAAGAGCTGGAGAGGGGCTGGGGACAAGGGATGGAGGGACAGGACACAGGGAATGGCTCCCCACTGCCAGAGGGCAGGGAGAGATGGGATATCAGGAGGGAATTCCTGGCTGGGAGGGTGGGGAGGCCCTGGCACAGGTTGCCCAGAGAAGCTGTGGCTGCCCCTGGATCCCTGGAAGTGTCCCAGGCCAGGGTGGATGGGGTTGGAGCAACCTGGGCTGGTGGGAGGTGTCCCTGCCCATGGCAGGGGGTGGAATTAAATGAGTGTTAAAGTGGCTTCCCACCCAAACCATCCTAAAATTCCAGGATTTGGTGGGAAGGAGATGGGCATTAACACCTGCCTTGGACACTGTTAAGAACAGGATTATTTGAAGTGGATTTTGGCTCATGGGATTGAGGGACAAGGTCTGATGTCAACAACAGATGAGCAACCACGGGAGACACCAGGAAGAACCAAATCCCTTTTGTTTCCCTTTCACACTCAGAGTTAATATGGAAATATTATCCTCTGGGAACAATCTCCCATTCCATGGTGAGGGAAAGGCTCTCAGAATCAGAAGTTCCTGAAATACAAGGGGCTGTTTCCCTAATACAGACTCAGTATCTTTTAAACATTCCCTCTGCAGAAGAGAGACAATCTCCTGGAGCCACAGCTCTGGGAAGAGGAATGGTGATCCCAGGCCATCACTTGTTGATACCCAGCACCCTTTAACCACTGCTGGAAAAAACTAAAATAAGGGAGAAAATTAAACACCTTCTGTATTTCCTTCAAGGAACATAAACAGAATGAAGTTCACAACAAAGCAGAGATCTCAACTGTCCTATTTTGTTTCTGTCTTTACAAGAGCTTTCCCAAAGGAACAAGTTGGCACTCCCTCTGCATGTGAAAAGAGTAAGACTTTACTACAGGGATGGTTTGGGTTGGAAGAGATCTTAAAGCTCATCCAGTCCCACCCCTGCCATGGGCAGGGACACCTCCCACCAGCCCAGGTTGCTCCAAGCCCCGTCCAGCCTGGCCTGGGACAGTTCCAGGGATCCAGGGGCAGCCACAGCTTCTCTGGGCAACCTGTGCCAGGGCCTCCCCACCCTCCCAGCCAACAATTCCTTACCAATCTCCCATCTCTCCCTGCCCTCTGGCAGTTTGAAGCCATTCCCCCTCATCCTGGCACTCCAGCTCCTTGTAAACAGTCTCTCTCCATCTTTCCAGCTGGCTCCTTCAGGTCCTGGAAGGCCACAGTTAGGTGACCCCAAAGCTTCTCTTCTCCAGGCTGGACAATCCCAGTCCTCTCAGCCTTTCCTCATGGCAGAGGGGCTCCAGCCCTGGGATCACCTTGGGGCCTCCTCTGGACTCTCTGCAGCAGCTCCACGTCCTTGTGCTGCTGTTGCCCAGGGCTGGAGGCAGCTCTGGGGGGGGGTCTCAGCTGAGGGGGCAGAGGGGTAGATCCCCCCTGCCCTGCTGCCCACCATCCCTGGGGGATCAGCCCAGCACATGCCTGGAATTGGTGTTCAAAAGGTTCATCCTCTTCAAGCCTCGACTTCCACTTCTATCCGAGCAAAGCTCAGCTGCCAGTTCAACCCTCCAGTCTCAGCCCCCCTCCCTTTTACTTTTTAATACACACTGACTTTATATCAAAGGAGAGTTCGGGTTTGAGTCCTTTTTGAGTTAAATCAAGTGCCCAAAGCCAAAAGTTCCTCCTCCCAGGACACAAACTTGTCCTTGTAAAGGAGATCCCGGTGCCATCAGACACTGGGCTCCTGCTGACACTGTTCATGCACCAAGAAAACCCCCAAACTCCTCCCCTGCAATCTGACAGAGGGGCAGCTCTTGAGCTATTTGCCCAAATCTTTGCCCCAGTGCCATTCCACCTGCTGAATTCCCAGCAGAAAGGAAAAAGGCAAAACTTCCCCTGTGATTTTGAATCTCCTGTAAAAATCAGGACTGGAAACAGAACTGGAGACGTGTTTGAATCAGACCAGGCTGATTCAAGGTGTGTGAGGCTCCTTCCTCATCCTCTGCACCCTCCTGACCAGGGCTCTGCAGCAGACACCCCTAGCAAGGGTGTCCATGTGGATCTGCCCACTCCTCCTGACTCAAACTCCAGCTGGCTCCTCACCCAGCCCCAGGCACAGCTCCAGGGTAACTCCCACTCCTTGCCTGTCCCTCCCAGAGAGCCACTGCAGCATTCCAGCTGTGCCAGCCCTCCCACCACGTCCTCTCCAGAGGAATCAGACTCCAAATTCCTCCTTATGGGGCACCCAGTCAGGCTGAATTCCCAGGAAAGGTCTGAGAGCTTGCTGAAACGTTGGCATTGCCCAGGGAAGCTGTGGCTGCCCCTGGATCCCTGGGAGTGCCCAAGGCCAGGTTGGAGCAACCTGGGCTGGTGGGAGGTGTCCCTGCCCATGGCAGGGGGGGCACTGGATGAGCTTTGAGGTCCCTTCCCACCCAAACCATTCCATGACTCTGTGACTGTACCTGTCTGGCAGAAAGATAAAGGCTCTGTGATGGTCCCACCAGCACAGCTGGAAGGAGCTCCAGCACCCTGTGCCTTCCAGCAGCACAGAGCCAGCCCAGGGAT